AGTTACGGTCATAGTTACCAAATCATATTCCATACCACCCCTGACCACACGCATGTAAGCAACAGACAACCTCCCTAGACCAGCACTGCCAAAGGTTTGGCGGAATATGAAATATGTCTTAAAACACTCATATGGGGATAGGGTAGGGACAAGTCTAGTGCCTGTACTGACAGACACACCAAACCATGACACAAATTTCTAACACACTATACAAGAAGGAAGCTCGCTTTCTATCATTTCCTACCACTTGAATTATAATTTCACTAATTTTTCTAAAGGTTTACTCATCATCACTCACCGTTTAGACCACCACCACCCACGGCCACCCCCCACCACGCTGCCCAGCCCACCCTACCATGCCACCCACCAGTGATGTAATATTTACCATCTGGTGGCAGTGTGGAGAACTAATCAAGAAGACAGTGTTTCCTGTTTCATCATATCAACAATAAATCGTCGGTCTTGAGGCCAACTCATTCTTAACTTGGTAGACCATTAACTTGACCTCACACTCCAGGCCTCTCTGGTTTCCCGTCCATATTGAGAGGAATTAAGGTGACCATTGGCAGAACTATATCTAGAAACAGGCGTAGTTTTGGTCACTTCCTAGGGGTCAAAGGTCACCAACAAGTCATGAGGGACACGTGAGGGGGCAGCAACAACAGGAGTACTGGCCCAGGGAAGCTACTCCGTCAGATTACCTTCGGCATATGTTCTACACACCCACAGGAGACTAACACCCCACTACCTTCTTATATTACCTATTGAGGCAGGGCGTGCGGTGGCTGAGTGGGTACAGCGCTCGTCACCTGTCTTAAGGGTAGCTGGTTTGTGTCCACGGCTACCCTAGTTCATCAAGCTGTGGGTGGCTGGTGGCTCGCCTCTGGTGGCTCGTCAGGTTCATACGCCGGCCTCATGGTTAACGACTAACACCAAGCTTTAACCTTACTGTACACCTACCATACAGAAGAGGCCCACACTTCTCCCAGGACTGACCTTACTAATAAACCATCCGTCCTTCAAGACCAATTAGTGGAAGGTACTGTACCATAACTTGAGGTGAGGAAGTTACAGCTTATAGTTAGTATTCTGGGTGGAAGAGAGTGTTGAAGCCACATCAACACCAATAGAGAACACAAAGCGATGTTCCTCCACAGAAACAGTAAACAGGGTCCCAAGGTAACACTGGTTAGGTTAGGTTAGGTTGTCACCATCCACACAACCTTACATAGTTGTTCACTTCCTGATGATGAACAGAGAGGGAATACGTGTGTGTGTGTTAAAGGAGTCAATAACGGGACAAGAGACGTAAACAAGCGACTCTAAAGGTAAACACATAATATTGTAATGGTAGCGGGTGGCGCGGCCTTACTAGTACTACTGCAAACAATAATGTACCTCAAACATCATCAACCACACCACCATGATTACGTGGTTGTATGTATTGGTCAACAAGTGTGGTAGTGGTGGTAGGGGGGTGTTGTTTGGTGGAGTGGTATGGTGATGGTTGTTTGAGTGATGGTGGTATTGTGAGTGGTAGTGTTATAGTGATGGTAGTGGTATGGTGATGGTGGTGGTGTTACAGTGATGGTGGTATTGTGAGTGGTAGTGTTATAGTGATGGTAGTGGTATGGTGATGGTGTTACAGTGATGGTGGTATTGTGAGTGGTAGTGTTATAGTGATGGTAGTGGTATGGTGATGGTGTTACAGTGATGGTGGTATTGTGAGTGGTAGTGTTATAGTGATGGTAGTGGTATGGTGATGGTGTTGCAGTGATGGTGGTATTGTGAGTGGTAGTGTTATAGTGATGGTAATGGTATGGTGATGGTGTTACAGTGATGGTGGTATTGTGAGTGGTAGTGTTATAGTGATGGTAGTGGTATGGTGATGATTGTTACAGTGGTGGTATTATTATTGGCAGTGTTAGTGTTACGCATGGTATTCGTAGTGGTATGGTGATGGTTGTGTGATGATGGTGGTATTGTGGGTGGTAGTGTTTATGAAGAGTGATGGTAGTGGTATGGTGATGGTGTTGTTACAGTCTGATGGTGGTATTGAGAGGTATTGTTATAGTGATGGTATTGGTATGGTGATGGTTGTGGTGATGGTGGTATTGGTGGTAGTGTTATAGTGATGGTAGTGGTATCGTGATGGTATTACGGTGATGGTGGTACATTGTGGTGGTAATGAATAATTTATAGTGATGGTATTGAGTGGTATGGTGATGATTGTTATTTACAGTGATGGTGGTATTGGTGGTGGTAGTGTTATAGTGGTGGTAGTGGTATGGTGATGGGGTGTTACAGTGATGGTGGTATTGTGGTGGTAGTGTTATAGTGATGGTATTGGTATGGTGATGGTGTTACAGTGATGTGATGGTATTGTAGTGGTAGTGTTATAGTGATGGAAGTGGTATGGTGGTGGTGTTACAGTGATGGTGGTATTGTGATGGTGGTAGTGGTACAGTGATGGTGGTGGTGGTACAGTGATGGTGGTATTGATACAGTGATGGTAGTAGTGTTACAGTGATGGTGGTGGTGTTCCAGTGATGGTGGTAGTGGTACAGTGATGATGGTAGTTATACAGTGATGGTGGTAGTGTTACAGTGATGGTGGTAGTGTTACCGTGATGGTGGTAGTTATTCAGTGATGGTGGTATTGATACAGTGATGGTGGTAGTGGTACAGTGATGGTGGTAGTGTTACAGTGATGGTGGTACAGTGATGGCGGTACAGTTATGGTAGTGGTACAGTGGTGGTACAGTGATGGTGGTACAGTGATGGTGGTAGTGTTACGGTATTGATGGTATTGGTGTTACAGTGATGGTAGTAGTGTTACAGTGGTAGTGGTACAGTGATGGTGGTACAGTATAATTGAATTTACGTGATGGTGATGCTACAGTGATGGTATTTGCAGTGTTGGTGGTACGGTGATGGTGGTACAGTGATGGTAGTAGTGTTACAGTGATGGTAGTAGTGTTACAGTGATGGTAGTAGTGTTACAGTGGTAGTGAAATTTTTAGTGATGGTGGTACAGTGATGGTGGTAGTGTTACAGTGATGGTAGTAGTGTTTTGTTGGTAGTAGTGTTACAGTGGTAGTGGTACAGTGATGGTGGTACAGTGATGGTAGTAGTGTTACAGTGATGGTAGTAGTGTTACAGTGATGGTAGTAGTGTTACAGTGGTAGTGGTACAGTTTTGGTGGTACAGTGATGGTGGTAGTGTTACAGTGATGGTAGTAGTGTTACAGTGATGGTAGTAGTGTTACAGTGGTAGTGGTACAGTGATGGTGGTACAGTGATGGTAGTAGTGTTACAGTAGTAGTGTTACAGTGATGGTAGTAGTGTTACAGTGGTAGTGTTACAGTGATGGTGGTACAGTGGTGGTACACGTACCCTGACGCCGTAACAGATGCCGTCGTCCGCCAGTTGGTGGTCAGGGTGTAGCCAGCCCCTGGCGGGCTTGTTGATGAAGGACCCCCCGCCGCCGGTCGCGTGTCCCCCCTCCATGCCGCCCAGCCACACCTGTTGCTGCTGCTGGCCGTGCACGCTCACGCCCTCCACGGCATCCGGCGCCCACGGCACGTGCGTCGGCGTGAGGCTGGGGGGCGGAGGTGCCTGGTGCTCCGGAGGCTCGTCCTTACTGGGGTAGAGGGACCTGAGGTCAACGGTGAACTTGTGGTTCCTCTCGAGGGAGCGTGTGTGGCGGTGGTGGGCGAGGGGCGGGAGCGGGTGGACGCGGGCGCCCTGGTGCCGCTCCAGGGACTTAGAGCGGTGGTGTCTCCTGCAGCTGCTGCTACTACTGCCGCAGCTGTCACCACTCCCGCCCGACAGCTGAACAGTACTAAACACTGAGTTACTCTTGCTGCTGTTACTACTACAGCTCACACTACCACTATTAACACTATTTAGCCACACTTTGTGCAGGTTCTGGTCCGAGTGAGATTTTAAATGAACACCGATCTTTTGTAGAGCATTGTCTGACTTTGACTTACGAGTTAGTGCCCTGGCCTGCTGCTTCTCCCTGTGTTTCCTAAGGCACTTGGCGAGCGTGAGGGTGGCCTCGGGCACCTGCGGGCGGGGGGGCGGGGTGTGGGCGTGGGGCGGGGGTGGGACGGGACTACGGTGGGGGTGGGTGTAGGTGCGGGAGGTGGGGGTGAGGTGTATGTGAGTCTCGTCAAAGGCGGTCTCCTTGTGGTGACGCTTGTTGGGGAAGTGAGTATACCGGTAGTCGTGAGGCTCACTCACACCCACGTCGGGTCGCTCGAGGTGCGGCAGGCGGGACGACCCCAGCCCTAGACTGGTGAGGTTCCTCCAGGCAGCCTTGAGCGAGGTGAGGGAGAGTGGCGACGCCTTATTACCGGGACCCCCGCTGCTGTTACTGCTGTTACTGCTGCTCCCGCTGCTGCTCACCCACGCTGTTGTACTGCTGCTGCTGATGACTGACGTGCCCCCTCCACTGATGGTACCGCTGGAGGTGGTGGTGGTGGCGGTGGTGGTGGTGGGGGTGGAGGGCGTAAGCGTCGGGGAGGTGGTGGAGGCGGTAGTGGTGGTGGGGGTGGAGGTGTGGTGGTCCACACAGTGGAGGCCGCTCACCGGACCCTGGTCGGTGTGCACCACCTCCACGCCGCCGTATAGCACACTCTTCCCTGAAACACAACAACAATAACATCATCAGCCAAACATAAACATCCAAATACTCAAAAAACATAACATCTGAACAACAACACTCATGAGACATAAGGCAAGCATGAACCTAGCATGCTTCCCTGTTGGGCCCTGTAAACGCTTCACCTTACACAAGGCTGTAGGGGAGTGCCCAATAAATAATAAAAATAAATAAAAAAATAAAAAAATAAAAAAAACATAACTCTCAGTCTTGGTAAAACACAGGAGCCGTCACAATAACAATGAAGTAACACCAACGCGTCATCATTGTTACAACTGAAAAAACAGACCTATTAGATCAGCATCCAACATTACCGTCGAGGTAGTGATTGGAGGTCATTTATTACGGCTGTTGACCTTGTTACTGCCAGGAGGTACGGTAGTTAACACATCTCACGGGAGGGAACATGACATAACAAAAGTTAACCACAAGAAACCTTACCACGTGCAGAACAGTCTAACACGGTGGTCTACAACACGGTGGCCTACAACACGGTGGCCTACAACACGGTGGCCTACAACACGGCGGTCTACAACACGGTGGTCTACAACACGGCGGCCTACAACACGGTGGTCTACAACACGGTGTTCTACAACACGGTCTACAACGGTGGTCTACAACACGGTGGTCTACAACACGGTGGTCTACAACACGGTGGTCTTACCACAACACGGTGGCCTACAACACGGCGGCCTACAACACGGTGGTCTACCACAACACGGTGGTCCTACAACACGGCGGCACACAACACGGTGGTCTTCTAACACGGTGGTCACAACACGGTGGTCACAACACGGTGGTCTACAACACGGCGGCCTACAACACGGTGGTCTACAACACGGTGGTCTACAACACGGTGGTCTACCACAACACGGCGGCTCCACAACACGGTGGGCTACAACACGGTGGCCTACAACACGGTATTGGTGGTCTCACAACACGGTGGTGGCCTACAACACGGCACAGGTGGTCTACAACTACAACACGGTGGTCTACAACACGGTGGTTACAACACGGCGGCCTACAACACGGCGGCCTACAACACGGCCTACAACACGGTGGTCTACAACACGGTGGTCTACAACACGGTGGTCTACAACACGGTGGCCTACAACACGGTGGTCTACAACACGGTGGCCTACAACACGGTGGCTTCCCCAACATGCCTACAACACGGTGGTCTACAACACGGTGGTGGCCTACAGCAACACGGCGGGGCTACACAACACGGTCTACAACACGGCTCAGCAAATACGGCCACAACACGGTGGTCTACAACACGGTGGTCTACAACACGGTGGTCTACAACACGGTGGCTCTACAACACGGTGGCCTACAACACGGTGGCCACCACAACACGGTGGTCTACAACACGGTGGCCTACAACACGGTGGCCTACAACACGGTGGTCTACAACACGGTGGTCTACAACACTACAACACGGTGGCCTACAACACGGTGGTCTACAACACGGTGGCCTCGGTGGCCTACAACACGGTGGCGGTGGTCTACAACACGGTGGTCTACAACACGGTGGCCTACAACACGGTGGTGCCAACACAGGCGACACGGGTGGTTCACACACGGTGGTCTACAACACCTACAACACGGTGGTCTACAACACGGCGTGGCCTACAACACGGTACAACACGGTGGTACAACACGGTACAACACGGTGGTTCACAACACGGTGGCCTACAACACGGCGGCCTACAACACGGTGGTTCACAACACGGTCTACAACACGGTGGCCTACAACACCTACAACACGGTGGTTCACCAACACGGTGGCTCTACAACACGGTGGCTCACAACACGGTAACGCAATGACGGTGGCTCTGCTAACACGGTGGGGTGGCCTGGTCTACAACACGGTGGATACCTACAACACGGTGGTCTCTACAACACGGCGGCACCTACAACACGGTGGCCTACAACACGGTGGCCTACAACACGGTGGTTCATCTACAACACGGTGGCTCTCAGCAACACGGTGGTCTACAACATAACACGGTGGTCTGGCAACACGGTGGTCTACAACACGGTGGTCTACAACACGGTGGCCTACAACACGGTGGTCTACAACACGGTGGCCTACAACACGGTGGTCTACCGGTGGCCTACAACACGGCGGCCTACAACACGGTGGTCTACAAACACGGTGGCCTACAACACGGTGGCCTACAACACGGTGGCCTACAACACGATGGCCTACAACACGGTGGTCTACAACACGGCGGCCTACAACACGGCGGCCTACAACACGGTGGTCTACAACACGGCCTACAACACGGTGGCCACACACACGGTGGTTCACAACACGGTGGCCTACAACACGGTGGTCTACAACACGGTGGCCTACAACACGGTGGTCTACAACACGGTGGCCTACAACACGGTGGTCTACAACACGGCGGCCTACAACACGGTGGCCTGCAACACGGTGGTCTACAACACGGTGGCCTACAACACGGTGGTCTACAACACGGTGGTCTACAAACAACACGGTGGTCTACAACACGGTGGTCTCACAACACGGTGGCTCCACACCACAACACGGTGGTCTACAACACGGTGGTCTACAACACGGTGGCCTACAACACGGTGGCCTACAACACGGTGGTCACAACACGGTGCTACAACACACGGTGGCTTACAACACGGCGGCCTACAACACGGCGGCCTACAACACGGTGGCCTACAACACGGTGGCCATGGTGGCACAACACGGTGGCCTACAACACGGTGGCCTACAACACGGTGGTCTACAACACGGTGGTCTACAACACGGTGGTCTACAAACGCAGGTTCACAACACGGTGCCACATGGTGGTTCCGCGAAGACGTGCGGCCCGTAATGACGGTGGCCTACAACACGGTGGTCTCACAACACGGTGGCCTACAACACGGAGGTCTACAACACGGTGGTCTAAGCCTACAACACGGTGGCCTACAACACGGTGGCTCACAACACGGTGGGCCTACAACACGGTGGCCTACAACACGGTGGCCACACACACGGGCCTACAACACGGCGGCTCACAACACGGCGGCCTACAACACTCTGGCCAACACGGTGGCTTCACAACACGGTGGCCTACAACACGGTGGCCTGCGACGGTGGTGGTCTACAACACGGTGGTCTACAACACGGTGGTTCATGCCAACACGGTGGTCTACAACACGGTGGTCTACAACACGGTGGTCTACAACACGGTGGTCTACAACACGGTGGTCTACAACACGGTGGCCTACAACGCATTGGTCTACCAACACGGTGGTGTACAACACATTGGCCTACAACACGGTGGCCTACAACACGGTGGTCTACAACACGGTGGTTCACAACACGGCGGCTTACAACACGGTGGCCTACAACACGGTGGTCTACAACACGGTGGACACGTCAAAGGTGACACCTAAATATTCATTACACGTGACACCCAAACACTGTCACAGTGACACGTATACATACACAAAAAAACATCTGTCACATGACGATAAAAAACACCTGTCACATATACAAACACCTGTCATGGCTCATACAAAATACCTGTCATACACATACAAAAACCTGTCATTACATATACAAACACCTGTCATACACATACAAAATGTCATAAACATGCTAAACACCTGTCATACAATATACAAACACCTGTCATACATATAAAACACTCTGTCATACACATAAAACACCTGTCAGTACATACAAAACCTGTCATAAATATAAAAACTGTGGTATACAACAAAACTGTTACACATACAAACACCTGTATAGTATACAAACACCTGTCGTATATACAAACACGGTTAAATATACAAACACCTGTCATAAACATACAAACACCTGTATAAGATATACACATCTGTCATACACATACAAACACCTGTCATATACATAGCACCTGTTACACACATACAAAAACCTGTCAATACTACCTGTCATAAATACAAACACCTGTCACACATACAAACACCTGTCATACACATACAAACACTCTGTCATAAACATACAAACACCTGTCATACACATACAAACACCTGTCATAATATACAAACACCTGTCATACACATACAAACACCTGTCATACATACAAATACCCATAAAAACACCTGTCATACACATACAAAAACCTGTCATACACATACAAAACTCATACATACAAACACCTGTTAACATACAAACACCTGTCATACACATACAAACACCTGTCATACACATACAAACACTCATCATACACATACAAAAACCTGTCATACACATACAAACACCTGTTACATACATACAAACACCTGTCATACACATACAAACACCTGTCATACACATACAAACACCTGTCATAACATACAAACACCTGTCATACACATACAAACACCTGTCATACACATACAAACACCTGTCATACACATACAAACACTGTCATATACAAATAAACACCTGTCATACACATACAAACACCTGTCATACACATACAAACACCTGTCATACACATACAAAAACCTGTCATACACATACAAACACCTGATCATACACATACAAAACACCTGTCATACACATACAAACACCTGTCATACACATACAAACACCTGTCATAAACATACAAACACCTGTCATACACATACAAACACCTGTCATACATACAAACACTGTCATACACATCACCTGTCATACACATACAAACACCTGTCATACATACAAACACCTGTCATACACATACAAACACCTGTCATACACATACAAACACCTGTCATACACATACAAACACCTGTCATACACATACAAACACCTGTCATAACACATACAAACACCTGTCATACACATACAAACACCTGTCATACACATACAAACACCTGTCCTATACGTGACAGTTCTAAAAACAAACACAAATCATCGGCCATTCATCCTCATACAGCCAGGTGTGTGTGTGTGTGTTGTGTGTGTTGTGTGTGTGTGTGTGTGTGTTGTGTGTGTGTTGTGTGTGTGTGTGTTGTGTGTGTGTGTGTTTGTGTGTGTGTGTGTGTGTGTTGTGTGTGTGTGTGTTTGTTGTGTGTGTGTGTGTGGTGTGTGTGTGTGGTGTGTGTGTTTGTGTGTGTGTGTGTAAGGGCTCTCCCTCACGAGCCTAAACACAGGACCCATTTAACAGACAACAGAACCATTTAACAGACAACAGAACCATTTAACAAACAACAGAACCCATTTAACAGACCACAGAACCCATTTAACAGACAACAGAACCCATTTAACAGACAACAGAACCCATTTAACAGACAACAGAACCCATTTAACAGACAACAGAACCCATTTAACAGACAACAGAACCATTTAAACACAGAATATTTAACAGACAACAGAACTTCAGACATTTAACAGACAACAGAACCCATTTAACAGACAACAGAACCCATTTAACAGACAACAGAACATATTTAACAGACAACAGAACCCATTTAACACAGAACCATTTAACGACAACAGAACATATTTAACGACAACAGAACATATACGACAACAGAACCATTTAACAGACACAAAACCATTTAACAGACAAAGAACCCATTTAACGGACAACAGAACCATTTAACGGACAACAGAACATTTAACAGACAACAGAACCATTTAACATACAACAGAACATATTTAACAGACAACAGAACCCATTTAACAGACAACAGAACCATTTAAGAAACAAACACAACAGAATATTTAACACAACAGAACCCATTTAACAGACAAGAACATTTTAACAGACAACAGAACCCATTTAACAGACAACAGAACATATTTAACAGACAACAGAACCCATTTAACGAACAACAGAACCCATTTAACAGACAACAGAACCCATTTAACAGACAACAGAACATATTTAACAAACAACAGAACCCATTTAACAGACAACAGAACCCATTTAACGGACAACAGAACATATTTAACAGACAACAGAACCCATTTAACAGACAACAGAACCCATTTAACAGACAACAGAACATATTTAACAGACAACAGAACCCATTTAACAGACAACAGAACCCATTTAACAGACAACAGAACATATTAACAGACAACAGAACCCATTTAACAGACAACAGAACCCATTTAACAGACAACAGAACATATTTAACAGACAACAGAACCCATTTAACAGACCACAGAACCCATTTAACAGACAACAGAACCCATTTAACAGACCAAAAATTTAACAGACAACAGAACCCATTTAACAGACAACAGAACATATTTAACAGACAACAGAACCCATTTAACAGACAACAGAACCCACTTAACAGACAACAGAACCCATTTAACAGACAACAGAACATATTTAACAGACAACAGAACCCATTTAACAGACAACAGAACATTTTAACGAACAACAGAACCTATTTAACAGACAACAGAACCCATTTAACAAGACAACAGAACATATTTAACAGACAACAGAACCCATTTAACAGACAACAGAACCCATTTAACAGACAACAGAACATATTTAACAGACAACAGAACCCATTTAACAGACCACAGAACCATTTAACAAACAGAACCCATTTAACAGACCACAAACCCATTTAACAGACAACAGAACCCATTTAACAGACACAGAACCCATTTAACAGACAACAGAACCCATTTAACAGACCACAGAACCCATTTAAGACAACAGAACCATTAACAGACACAGAACCCATTTAACAGACAACAGAACCATTACGAAAACAGAAATTTAACAAAGAACCCATTTAACAGACAACAGAACCCATTTAACAGAACTTATTTAACAGACAACAGAGCCAAACAGTAGGTAGAGAATCTTATAATCAAGGGTTTAATATGTTCAAGGTACTGGTGTCAGGGAGGAATAAGGAGGGAGGAGAGGAGAGGGAGGGAGGAGGAGAGGGAGGGGGGAGGAGGTGAGAGGGGTGTTGAACCTGGGGAAGGGGTGTTTATATTTATCAACCTAACTAACCTAACTGGACGACAAGTAGCAGTCAAGCACGTCAACTTATTACACCTGACCTGATGATTAAACCATTAACTGCCTGGGGGGCACAAGAGGTGGTGGTGGTGGTACAAGAGGTGGTGGTGGTGGTACAACAAGAGGTGGTGGTGGTGGTACAAGAGGTGGTGGTGGTGGTGGTACAAGAGGTGGTGGTGGTGGTGGTACAAGAGGTGGTGGTGGTGGTGAGGTGGTGGTGGTGGTGGCACAGAGGTGGTGGTGGTGGTACAAGAGGTGGTGGTGGTGGTGCAAGAGGTGGTGGTGGTGGTACAAGAGGGTGGTGGTGGTACAAGAGGTGGTTGTGCAAGAGGTGGTGTGGTGGTACAAGGTGGTGTGGTGGTGGTGGTGGTGTGGTACAGAGGTGGTGGTGGTACAGAGTGCGGTGGTGGTACAAGAGGTGGTGGTGGTGGGTACAAGAGGTGGTGGTGGTGGTGGTACAAGAGGTGGTGGTGGTACAAGAGTGGTGGTGGTGGTGGTACAAGAGGTGGTGGTGGTGAATCAGGTGGTGGTGGTGGTACAAGAGGTAGGGTGGTGGTACAAGAGGTGGTGGTACAAGAGGTGGTGGTGGTGTTGGTGGTGGTGGTGGTGGTACAGGTGGTGGGTGGTACAAGAGGTGGTGGTGGTGGTGGTGGTGGGTACAAGAGGTGGTGGTGGTGGTGGTACAAGAGGTGGTGGTGGGGCACAAGAGGTGGTGGTGGTGGTGGCAAGAGGTGGTGGGGGTGGTACAAGAGGTGGTGGTGGTGGTGGTGGCACAAGAGGTGGTGGTGGCACAAGTGGTGGTGGGTGGTGGTGGTGGTGGCACAAGAGGTGGTGGTGGTACAAGAGGTGGTGGCGGTGGTGGTGGTGGTGGCACAAGAGGTGGTGGTGGTACAAGAGGTGGTGGTGGTGGTGGTGGTGGTGGTGGTGGTGGTGGTGGTGGTGGCACAAGAGGTGGTGGTGGTGGTGGCACAAGAGGTGGTGGTGGCGGTAAGAGGTGGTGGTGGTGGTGGTGGTGGTGGTGGTGGTACAAGAGGTGGTGGTGGTGGTGGCACAAGGTGGTGGGTACAAGAGGTGGTGTGGTGGCAAAGATGGTGGTGGTACAACAGGTGGTGGTGGTGGTGGCACAAGAGGTGGTGGCGGTGGTACAAGAGGTGGTGGCACAAGAGGTGGTGGTGGTGGTACAAGAGGTGGTGGTGGCACAAGAGGTGGTGGTGGTACAAGAGGTGGTGTGGTACAAGAGGTGGTGGTGGTGGCACAAGGTGGTGGTACAAGAGGTGGTGGTACAAGAGGTGGGTGGTGGGCTAAGAGGTGGAGGTGGTGGTACAAGAGGTGGTGGTGGTGGTACTGGTGGTGGTGGTACAGGTGGTGGTAGAACAGGTGGTGGTGGTACAACAGGTGGTGGTGGTGGCAGAACAGGTGGTGGTGGCAACAGGTGGTGGTGTTGGTGGTACAACAGGTGGTGGTGGTACAACAGGTGGTGGTGGTACAACAGGTGGTGGTTGGTGGTACAACAGGTGGTGGTAAGAGGTGGTGGTGGTGGTACAACAGGGTGGTGGTGGCAAAACAGGCGGTGGTGGTGGGTACCATAGGTGGTGGAGGTGGTACAACAGGTGGTGATGGTGCAACAGGTGGTGTTGGTGGTACAACTGGTGGTGTGGCACAACAGTGTGGTGGTGGTGGTACAACAGGTGGTGGTGGTGGTGGTACAACAGGTGGTGGTGGTGGTACAAAAGGTGGTGTGGTGGTGGGTACAACAGGTGGTGGTGGTGGTACAACAGGTGGTGGTGTGTGGTGGTACAACAGGTGGTGGTGGTACAACAGGTGGTGGTGGTACAACAGGTGGTGGTGTGGTGCCAATGTGGTGGTGGTGGTACAACAGGTGGTGGTGGTGGTACAACAGGTGGTGGTGGTGGTGGTACAACAGGTGGTGGTGGTACAACAGGGTGGTGGTGGCAACAGGTGGTGGTGGCACAACAGGTGGTGGTGGTGGTACAACAGGTGGTGGTGGTACAACAGGTGGTGGTGGTAAAACAGGTGGGTGGTGGGTACAACAGGTGGTGGTGGTGGCAACAGGTGGTGGTACAACAGGTGGTGGTGGTGGCAGCAGGTGGTGGTGGTGGTACAACAGGCGGTGGTGGTGGTACAACAGGGGTGGTGGTGGTACAACAGGTGGTGGTACAACAGGTGGAGGTGTGGTGGTACAACAGGTGGTGGTGGTACAACAGGTGGTGGTGGACAACAGGTGGTGGTGTGGTACAACAGGTGGTGGTGGTACAACAGGTGGTGGTGGTGGTACAACAGGTGGTGGTGGTGGTACAACAGGTGGTGGTGGTACAACAGGTGGTGGTGGTGGTGCACAACAGGTGGTGGGTACAGGGTGTGTAAAAGGTGGTGGTGCAACAGTGTGGTGTGGTGGCAGGTGGTGGTGGCACAACAGGTGGTGGTGGCACAACAGGTGGTGGTGGCACAACAGGTGGTGGTGGTACAACAGGTGGTGGTGGTACAACAGGTGGTGGCAACAACAGGTGGTGGTGGTACAACAGGTGGCAAGCAAACAGGCGGTGGTGGCGTAAGGTCAACAGGTGGTGGTGGCAACAAATTGAGTGGAGGCAACAGGTGGTGGTAACAACGGTGGTGGTGGTGGCACAACAGGTGGTGGTGGTGGTAACAACAGGTGGTGGTGGCACAACAGGTGGTGGTGGTGTCAACAGGTGGTGTGGTGGTGGCACAAAGAGGTGGTGGTGGTGGTGGCACAACAGGTGGTAGGTACAACAGGTGGTGGTGGTACAACATGAGGTGGTGGTGGTAACAACAGGTGGTGGTGGCAACAACAGGTGGTGGGTGGTGGCACAACAGGTGGTGGTGGTACAACAGGTGTGGTGGTGTAAAACAACAGGTGGTGGTGGTACAACAGGTGGTGGTACAACAGGTGGTGGTGGTACAACAGGTGGTGGTAGGTACAACAGGTGGTGGTGGTGGTAGGTACAACAGGTGGTGGTGGTACAACAGGTGTGGTGGGTACAACAGGTGGTGGTGGCACAACAGGTGGTGGTGGTGGAAAACAGGTGGTGGTGGTGGTGGACAACAGGTGGTGGTGGTAACAAGAGGTGGTGGTGGGAAGGTGGTGGTGGCACAAATGAGGCGGTGTGTGGTAGGTCAAACAGGCAGTGGGTGCAGTATTGTGTACAAAGGGTATGTGTGGTGGCACCAGGTGGCTGGTGGTGTGGTGGTGGCGTGTGGCAACAACAGGTGCGGTGGTGTGGCACAAACAGGTGGCAGGTGGTGGTGGCCAACAGGTGGTGTAGTGGCGATAAACAGGTGGTGGTGGTAACAACAGGTGGTGGTACAACGGTGGTGGTGGCACAACAGGTGGTGGTGGTGGCAATGTGTGTGGCCAGGTGGTGGCACAGGTGTGGTGGTGGGTACAACAGGTGGTGTGTGGTGGACAACAGGTGGTGGTGGTGGTGCAGGTGGTGGTGGCAACAGGTGGTGGTGGTACAACAGGTGGTGGTGGTGGCCACTGGTGGTGGTGGCAACAAACAGGCGGGTGGGTATGAAATGTGGTAGAGCGGTAACAACGTGGCGGTGGTACAACAGGTGGTGGTGGTACAACAGGTGGTGGTGGGCACAAACAGGTGGTGGTGGCAATAATGCGTGGTGGTGGCAACAGGTGGTGGGTGGTGGTAACAACAGGTGGTGGTGGCGCAGGTGGTGTCAACAGGTGGTGGTGGTGGTACAACAGGTGGTGGTGGTACAACAGGTGGTGGTGGCAACAGGTGGGTGACAACAGGTGGTGGTGGTACAACAGGTGGTGGTGACAACAGGTGTGGTGGTGGTGGTGGTGGTGGTGGGTGGTTACAACAGGTGGTGGTGGTGGTGGTGTGGTACAACAGGTGGTGGTGTGGTGGTACAACAGGTGGTGGTGGTGGTACAACAGGTGGTG